ATATTACAAATTTAATAATTGAAGAATTTATAAAACTAGAAATTGATCAAAGAATATTTTCTCTTTTACTAGATAATGCAAATAATAACAATGTAGCTGTTAATTTTATCAAAACAACTATGTCATTGTCATGTCATGGTGAACTTTTTCATATTAGATGTATCTGTCATATTTTAAATTTAATTGTTCAAAGTGCATTTTCTAAAATTAAACCTATGATAGAAAATGTTAGAACAATTGTTAATATGCATAATGCTTCTGAAATAAGAATTAAAAGATGGAAACAATGTTGTAAAAAATTTATAAGCCCAGACTAATTCCAAAATATGTTGACCATAGGTGGAATTTCACCTATACAATGTTAAGTGTAGCAATAGAATATAAAGAAATTATAAATAATTTTATCAATTTTTATGCTTCTAGTTCTAGCTCTGGTAGTACTTTTGCAATAACTGAAGATGAATGAATAATTGTATGTAATTTAAATGATATGTTACAAGTCTTTTATGATGCTACAATGTTATTATCTGGCTGTTATTATCCAACAATTACTTTAGCTGCTTTATAAATTTTAAATATTAAAAAATTACCAAATATCGTATGGATGATACTGTTGGAGCTGTAATTTTTTAAATAGAGAGCAAATTTAATAAGTATTTTAGGCTTATTCCTCATATTTTTGGTTTGGGGGTTCTTATTGATCCATGTTTAAAGGATATTAGCCTTCGAAGTTTGTTATAATCATTATACGATGGACAGATTATAGACTTAAATGATGGATCCACACTTACTGGTACTTCTTATTATTTAGCTATTAGAAATTATTTTTAAACATTATATGATGAGTATGCAGCTAGACATGGTGTAGCTGCACAATAGTCTACAGCTTCGGCGCCTTCGAGTATAGGCCGAGGTAAAAGTGTAAGTTTTGATAGGTATACAATGGTAGTTGAACTAACAAGTGAATCTGGACTTGGATCAACATTAGAGGTTTCTGAAATAGATGAATATTTATCTGCTTCCTTAGTTAAATGTTAAGGAAATTCTTTAGATATTTTACAATGGTGGAGAGTATATGGATCAGTTTCATATCCTATACTTTCCACCATGGTTCGTGACTTACTAACAGTGCAAGTTTCGACGGTAGCTTCGGAATCCGCCTTCAGCACAGCAGGACGTTTGATCGACAACCAAAGGACATGCTTAGATCCGTATACTGTACAAGCGGTGATGTGCTTACAAGATTGGTGGAGGTACGAGAAGCGAACGCAATGCATCGATCGGATGGCTGGAATTGAAGATAAATTTAAAAAGTTGGTACTAGCAGATAGGTATAAAGATTAGATAATATTCATCAAATTGTAATTTTTATTTCTTAGCTTTAAATTTGTAATGAATTATTTCGAAAAAAGTTATAAATGATAGTGATATAGGTGAGTAGGTACCAACCTAGTTAGGATGTATTCATCTTTTGTGATGCGACGAATTTCGAAATAAATTTATACTTGTAAAGGATTTATTGATTATTAATAAAGAAGTTATTTTTATCATCTTTCATTTTTATAATTTTTGTACTTATAATTTATGTCATTTCAAGTTATTAAAAAAATTATGTTATTTTCTGTAATTTTTATGTATATTTTATGATTTATGGGGATTTTTAAAAATTTTAAAAATTTTAAAAAATTAAAAAAAAACAAAAAACCGGGTCTGTCCGAAGCTGGGCCCGCTCAAGCCCGGGCCCGGGTCCGGGCTTCGGTTTTGTCCTGCTCGGGCCCGGTTTTTCAGGTCGGGCTGGATCGGCCCGGATGGATAGGCCTACACAAGGCTATGATGACCTCCAATTACTAGCTTTGTTTTGATTTTGTCCTCATCTGAGTGGTAATGTTATTAGGGGTAGTTTGATTCCTATTTTGTACGTATCGATGTCCTCTCATTCGTCCAAACTAAAGAATAAGTAAACTTGTCTTCCCTAAAATTTTATTTTCCTATTTTTCGCAAATGAACTAAATACAAGAGCATAAATAATAGAGCATTTCATCAACTTCTGATTTCTATAAAAATAATTATGATAAAGGCGTAGAAAAGCTATTTTAGTATCCTATTCCTATACACTTTTTTTTCCGAAATAAATCAAACAGGCCCTAAGTGTCATGATTGACGACAATCCGTTCAAGTGTTACTTTAACAGATGGCATGTTTCAAATAACGTTATCTTTATGTACATTTCAAATAACGTTACTTTAACAGATGGCATATAACAAAAAGGACGGACCAGACTTCTTCCCTTCGCGTTAACATTGTTAATGATAATTTCTAACAGTTTAGAAAGTTTGGTCCAAGTTTTCAAGTCCAGTGGGATTTTTCTCTTGTTTATAAAGTTAAAGGGTAATAAAGTCAAAGGGTGGGCACAAAACCCTTGTTAGGGGGTTTGCGATATTGACTCTTTTTTAATTATGATTATGATGAGTTCATTCATCCCCATATCTCGGTGATTAGGGGTCTGATTTGTTGAACAAATTAAGTTAAAAAGGGACATCAACTGGTATCATCATTATGATGATGTCATGACTTAAGAATAAAGCTTAGGTCGTGATTTGTTGCTTGAAATTATCTAAGACTTGGAAGCAATATCAAGTAGCCGGCAAAGAGTAGTGGAGCAAAAGAAGCAACTCTAATAATGTGTAGGATTAACACTCCCTCTTCTTTTTCTAAAGGAAAATTTGCTTGACTTACAACAGAAAGGGAATCTTTGTCATCAGCATTTTTTTTATTTACATTTATTTTGTATCTAATGGAAGGGAAGCAAAAAAAAACCAATTCATTGAGTAATTAAAATTACACTAGAAAAAAAAAAGAAGTAAGCAGAAAAATATGTACAAGTAGCTAGAGAGTTGGCGAAAGAGCATTATCAACTCATATTGTTTTCTTTGTTATTTCTTTAGTGGTATGACTATAATGTATATATCTTGTTCTTTTTACTTGTTCTCTATAATTCCTCGTACCTTTCTTGGTAGTTTTGTATGATTACAAAAGAGGTTATGGTCTGGTACCTTGCTAATCATTCTCATTTAAGAATATTTACATGCTTTAACTATTTTGTTGTTAAGATATTTAAGACCTTTTCACATGTGGTCATGTGAGTCAATACATGGTTATGTCGTAAAGAGACTCTATAGTCTATTGTTGCTTTACCTACAACAGAGAAAGTATATGAAATGATAGAAACAAAGAAAGAAGCTATTGTTGAGAGTTTTGCTGAAGATCTTGACTTACATAAAAAATTTACTAAAGTCGGGTTTTTTTTTTTTTTTTGACAGCCAAAGTGCGATATATTTGATGAAACGACAAATGTATCATGAAATAAGAAAACATATAAATGTTAGATATCATTTTATCAAAGAAATTATGACATTAGGATTGAGAAAATTAGCACCGCAAGTAATCCGCTCTATATGATAATGAAGAATGCATCTTCCCGCAAGTTCTAACATTTTCTCTAATTGTTTGGAATTCATCAAGGCGGAGGTTTAGTCCATCAATGTTCTATAAAAAGATAACATGGTCGAGGAGAAAATTATCATATCGAAGTCAAAGTCAAGATCTGTTGTTTTTTTTTTTCAATCCGCAAAGCCAAGATCTGTTAATAAACTTTTGCTAATTGTGCGTTGATTTTGAAAATGATGTTTTCCCTCTTATCATATTTACCTTGTAATAATTATGTTAGGAAATTATTCCCAACTAACTAGTCGGCAATTACACTGATACGTTTGTCTATTTCACATTGACGTGGATTCGTTATCGGCAATAGGGAGATTAGCGTGATGATGAAGAGCGTGGAGTGGGAAAGAGAGAAAAAGACAACGTTTGAGTTCATCATTTGAATATTTTGTTGCGAGTTTAACTGATGAGAGTAATCTCTGTGTAATCTTCCCTTTTGATTGGTGAATTTCAGTTATTAATTTCGTTAATCTCCACTGATGACTGACAAAATCAGAAAAGCAGATCCCTACACAAATAATAGACGTTAGAGGCTCCGGAGGCAATTTCCCCTGCGTTCCCTCAACGCTCAAGTTAGTGACGGGTAAAATAAGTATTAACCGAAATGTAAAATTCAGTTTAGAGTTTAGATAGTTCATTAGAATGGTGGAAGTGGCCTCTATTTGTAGGAGAGCGTGGGGGCAAATTGGTAATCTAACCTAGCAGGCAAAATTGATGTTTTATTTTCGCTCTACGCATTTTAGCAGTCGGTTGGTCGAGCATGAGGGGCCGCCCACACAACATTTAATGTGATAGCAATAGGGCGACAGAATATGGCCGATGTTCAAGGAGTCATTATAACATCTATCCGTGCATTTAACGTGATTGCGACTGGGTGGAGGATTTATGGGCACCATCCGAGGCAATCGGACATTCCCTTCCTTACCTCGAGGCTAATACTCTCTGGCAGAGTCCGATCTAAAGATGTCTTTCAACTCGGACTAGGACTGTCGGGGAGGTCGGCTTGGTTTTGTCGTGTTGTATCTCTATTTGGATTTAGATCCATTTTATTATATGATTTGACTCATCCGACTGACACGTGGCCGATTTTTAAGGGTTCGTCAAATTTGTAATTTTTAAGATGTAACCATTGTTAGTTATACTATATCTTTATTTGTTGTTTTTTTTTTTATCACTACTTCATGTATTCAGTTTTATTATTGCTCTAGTTGTATTGACATTGATGGTGTTAAGTAGCCACCTTGCAAGAAATAACCAAAAGTATCCCTACCAAATACTTATCCTCAAAAATGGTTCATGTTTCGATATGTTTACAGAAATAAAGAAGGCCATAATGCGCTTCAACACTTTTTGCCATTTTCGTGAAGCTTCACCCTATAGCTACCTAGCAAGGGATTAAGCGGTCAAAGCCCAGAAAAACAGTTGGAAAGGGGTGAAGGAATACAATTTCTCTTCTTCATTGCCGTGTGGCTGTTTTAAGCTGGTCAAGCCTGATCACAAGTTATAATATCACACAACAAATTATAGCTTTCTCTTTATTTTAACAAATTATAATTAAAAGCATTAAGTGGCTCCAACTTTAGCTCTCTATAAACACTGCACCTGTCCATCTCTCTCTCTCTCTCTCTCTACTTAACCTGCGATATTTTGGGGCTGCCTCTTTGAATCACATTTCCTGACAAAGCTCATCTTGAATTGATTCCTGAGAGAAGAAACAGGGGAAAGGATAAAAAAAAAAGATGAAGTTTTGCAAGAGATATGAGGAGTACATGCAAGGAAAAGAGAAGGAGCTCCCCGGCGTGGGATTGAAGAAGCTGAAGAAGATACTCAAGAGGTGCAGGAGAGAATTCCACGCGCAGGATCAGATGGAAGAAAACCCAACTGAGAATTGTGATCCAGTCACTAAACCCAAATGCCCAGATCAATGCCCGGGTACCTTTTTTGTTGTTAATGTTGAAAATTTCCATCTGGGTTTGTGTTTTTGTGTGCCATTATGTTGGATGTTTTGAATATTAATTATTGAGATTTTTTTCCCCTCATTTTTGGGCTCTGTTGATATACGTTAAGCTCAATTTCTAACATTGCTCTCGTCTCTTGTTGCCACTGAGTATTGATTTCCTAATATCACAGTGTTGTTGATATAATAGAAATTTTCACTGCATGAGATGATAAGAAAATTTCTAATGAATCCGTTGCTCAGAGAGAGAATGGTTTCTCTTTATGCCGCATAAATATCTTTATATATATTCTGCTAACATACTAGACGTGCATAAGCCAATTAATTCTACATGCATTTTACTAACTTTTTGTTTTTCAAATATGCTTTTTGTTTCATGTAGACTTTGCTCTTTGATTATTGAAACAAAAAAAAAAATAACCGAATAGAGTAACTAGCAATTTTTGCAAAACCGCTTTTATCAAAAATCACTGAAATTTAGACAATCTTTCATAAATTTTCTCTCTTTTATTTTTGGATCAGACAGTTTCTCGTGAAACATTGATAAAGAAAGGGAAGCTCCATCATAATCTTGTTCACATGTATATTGTTGGGGAGTCAGTCTCAGTGATTGCTGGTGATGTCTAAATCTAAAGTGATAAACTTCCTTATTTTCCAATCATCTGTTTTCTCTTTTTTAAAATACGTGTAAATTACAAAGAATCCTCCTACGGTTTCCATTAGTGACAACCCCACCCCCCAAAAAGAATAAAAATAAAAATAAAAAATAAAACAGAATAAAACACAACAAAAAAAACACCCCAGGTTTCATAAGTGACAATTTGACCTCCCTTCCACTTCAATTTCTACAAAATTAACTTGGAGACAAGAAAAAATATGATCATATAATATAAAATTTATATGTATTACTACATAAACGCGTGCAGATCATCGCATAAAAATTTAATAATTACGTCCGAAATGCTACTTAGTATCTCAATTCCTTGCCACCATTTCTTTTATTAACTCTGTCATGCCTATTCACATGCAGTGTGTGATGGAACTTTCTTCCCTGCTCTTCTTGAGGAAATGTCAGCAGTTTCTAGTTGCTTCAAGGAACGTGCCCAAAAATTGCTCGAGTTACATTTAGCTTCAGGCTTCCGGAAGTATTTCATGTGGTTTAAAAACAAGACACAAAGAAACCATGGAATTCTAGTACAGGAAGGTAGAGAACTGGTCACATATGCTATCATTAACTCTGTTGCCATGAGGAAGATACTGAAGAAATATGACAAGGTAAGTTTTTTCATAATTTTTTTTTTCTTGAGTAAATTACAGAAATCCCCCTACGGTTTGCACGATTCTCGAAAATTCCCCCCGAGGCTTTAAAACGAACACCTTGATCCCCCTCCGTTTCAATTTTCAAAGTTAAAACTGGATGTCAAAAGCTATAGGAATATAACATGATAATTGCCTATATGCCTATATAAACATGTGTGTGATATTTTTACTGAATATTGGCGATATATGTCATAAAAGTTGATGATTATCTGACTAAAAACTGAAGAGAAAGGGTAAGGTGTCACTTTTTACAACCTTAGGGGAATTCTGTCATTTTTGCAACCCGTACAGGATTTATGTAATTTATCTTACTTTCTTAGTTTGTAATTTTCATGACATTTGAGTTTTTCTATACAGATTCATTACTCTAAACAAGGGCAAGCATTCAGAGAAAAAGCTCAGAGTTTGCACATTGAGACCCTTAAATCTCCCTGGCTCTGTGAATTGTTGGCTTTCTACATCAACGTGAGACAAAAGGAGCCAAATATGAAGGTGATTCCAGGTGTATTTGGCGACTGCTCGCTCACATTTGATGATGGCAAGCCGGTGCTCTCATGTGGCTTGTTTGATTCTGTGAAGCTTGAAATAGACTTGACATGTTCCATATGCTTGGTGAGTTTGTGATTATGATTTTTGATTATGATGCTTCATTTTCTGTTATTTACCGTGCATGATTCATCAACCAACACTGAGCGACTTAACCACTGTTACCTATATTTGGTCAATGTGTTAGACATATTCTAACATCATGTTTATTATTGAACTTGTGCCTATATTCATATTTTATGCGATATATTTCATTTGCGAAAGGATAGTAAAGCTAATGAAAATTTGACTATACAAAATGGCCTTGGAGCCAAAACCACTAGCTTTGAGCCTTTGGGTCAAAGTGATTCGAAGTAGGCTTTTCCTCGAGTTAATCTTCTAAGTCAGGCAAATTTTATTGCTTTAAAGAGTATAATGAACTGGGTGTGTCTTATTAATACAAAATTTCAAGCTTCAATGTGGGAGGAAATTGAGAAAAAACATTAGCTTCAATGCATCCATGATTTCAAAAACTGGCTAATCCTTGTCACTTTGAGTACAAGATTAGTATTTTTCACAAAGTTTTGAAAGAATATTGGGATTTGAAGATAATAGGTAAACATTATGATAGAAACGTAACAAGGGAAAACATTGAGGGATTCTTCAGGAAGTCATCAAGATTTATAATTTAAACAATTCTCGAGGAATCCTCGAATTATGAATATTAGCATTTGTAGGTATTCACAGCTGCTTCATTTTCTAGTGCAAAATTTGGGATGTTCATTGTGCAGGTGTCCTGATTTTAAGATCTTTGATAAATAGAATGCAAAATACACTTTTGAAATCGATTTAACGTATTAATAATATTTTCTGGTATCGTCCAGGAAACTGTGTTCGATCCTGTTTCCCTTACCTGTGGTCATATCTTTTGCTACATGTGCTGTTGTTCCTCTGCATCTGTAACAATCATCGATGGCCTCAAGGCTGCAGACCACAAAGCAAAATGCCCTTTATGCCGGCGGGTAAATTCCTCTCTTACCCATCCTATGTTCTGTTATATAATGTTGTGAAATAATTGATTAAATGACTTGCAATTATACAAAAATGTGGCAGGGAGGAGTATATGAGGGTGCTGTGCACTTGGAGGAGCTAAACATGTTACTGAGTCGCAGGTATTATTTAGTGCTGAGTTTGTTTTGCATGGAAACAAAACCCTAAAGAGGGCAGTCTATAGAATTTCATATGGGGGAGAGAGAGGAGAGGGGGACGCATTGCATATCAGGAATCTTGATGCACATATTTGTAATGTCTATCAGTACAGTCACTATTGTCTATCAATGCAATTGTGATTGTACTAATAGTGATTGCATTGATAGACAAGTGATTGCACTGATGGGAATTTGCATTAACATGCCAAGAGTCATCCTCTCCTTACTCCCTACGTAATATTCTCTAGATGGCCCAGCATAGGATTTTTTTTCTTTTTTTTTCTTTTTTTTTTTTGTGGTGGGGGGGGGGGGGGGGGGGGGGGTGAGGGTGGGGGGTGGGGGGTTAATTACTACCCATTTAGCTTTATTTATGCAGAGAGACCCCTAAGTGAAAACTTTTTGACACTTTTACCGTCTATGGTCTGTGAAAAACAGTTTTCTCTTTCTCTGAGCATAAAAGAGGAAAAGATTTTCACTCAGGGGAAAGTAAAATTACAGGGTTAGTAAGCTCAAAATGACGACACTGCAGGGGGGTCTATGAGCAATTAACCCTTTTTTATTCCTGATTTGTATGTCAGACTGAGTGAATTTTATCTAATGTTGTTTCTTCTCTTTACAGCTGCCCAGATTACTGGGAGAAGAGGCTACAGAGTGAGAGAGTGGAGAGAGTTCGTCAGGCCAAGGAACATTGGGAATCGATGAGCCGAACATTTATAGGTCTTTAAGAGGTGTTCGGTTAATTTGTAGTTCTTAGATTTAACCTGTGGATAAATTAAGAAAGGATTATAATTTACTTAGTGTTACATGTATGTGTGAATCTCTCATGATAAGTGCCTTGCTAGAGAAAAAAAAATTAATAGTGTATGCTTCCTTTTTCTATCGTTACATTTCTGATTGCTTCAATTTTCTGTTGTCATTCATTATTTTTTAACCGGAAATTTCTTCAGGTTGTTAGTTTTGGGACCGGAGATAGAATCAAGAGAAAATCACCGTGAGATTGCACTTCAGATGACATTGCAACTGGTTTTTATTTATTGCAACAAGGCACTCCAGATGAAGGCGCGCTTGAATCTGTGAGAAATTACTAACCACTCTTGAGGTATATAAACAGCTATTGGATTGTGCCAGGCAACCAACTAATTATTTATGTACTATCATCATCCTACCATTTTGTTTACTGTAATTACTCTTCTTTATTTAAATCACCAAGTACATGGACAAAGTTACTTATAACTATCAAGCCATTCCAATTAGTTCACCAATGTAAATATAGTCTCCAAGTTATAGGAGAAGGAGAAACTAGACGAGTAAAATTCGTCGCTCCTACATAAATTTACTGTACAAGGGAAAAATGCGGCGTATCCCTTTTCCGTATCCTACAGGGAAAATGCGCCTATCGTGGTTGGCGGTTTACGATCCTCTTTCAGCTGTCTGAACTAAAGCCAGTCAACTCGACAAAGAACATCCTGAGCAGTTACGGCAATGCATTCTTGGAGTTATTACAGTTGTCGTTCTTTTCTGCCTTTTTTCCGAAAGTTCTAGCCGTTCCAATCACTGAGATATCGTAGCGCTTGCTTGATCTCAGTCCTGCTATCAGATAAAATGAAAGGGAGATGATAAAAGTAGTACCTTGGAAAAGGAAGTATCATGTTCCAAGAGTGAGAAAACACAATGTTAAAAAGAAAGTATCGTGTTCCAAGAGTGAGAAAACGCAATGTTATTTGGTTAGATGCATATAGGAATTTTTCTTCACGCGTTTAGAAACACAATCATGTTTACCAATCTCTTTGGCTTTTTTACATTTACTTGTGATCAAGAATCAATGTTTACCAATCTCTTTGGCTTTTTACATTTACTGGTGATCAAGAATCAAGTATTATTAACGTGTAGAGTATTATTCCAATAAAAATATGGACAAATTTTCAAAACCGACCCTTTTGAAAAAATATTTCCCAAAAACGACATGTTTCAACTTTAATTACCAAAATCGACCTAGTTTCAACCTCAGGGTTGAAACTGGGTTGGTTTTGACGAAAAAAGTTCCTAAACTTCACGGGAGTTGAAGTCCAGTGAAGTTTTTTACATAACAAAACTTCACCAAAACCTGACCTAGTTTCATGGTAGTTCAACTCCCGTGAAGTTTGGGAACTCTTTTCACCAAAACCTAACCCAGTTTCAGCCCTGAGGCTAAAACTAGGTCGGTTTTGGTAATTAAAGTTGAAACATATCGTTTTTTTAAAATAAGTCTCAAAAAGTGTTTGTTTTGAAAATTTGTCCTAAAAATATACAATGATAAAACCACAACGATGATAAAACCACAACGTACATTCCGGCTAGCAATAGCAGTAGTCAACGCCTTTACTCATAAAAGCCTGTTCACCGACAAACACAAAGGCGATAATCAAATAAAAACAGCTGATTAAAACCTTTTTTGCAAGTCCAGCAAACTCACCAACAAAAGGTGAAACTGCTTGAATCAAACAAATAATAAATGGGTGATGGTCTCCAACAATGCCTACTGTAGTAAAAGACTTTGCTACAAAATATATATGCCTCCCTTTGAAAAAATTGAGGGCTTCAAATAGTAAGCAACCAAATAATTGAGAATCACCATTGGAGACGAGCACATTCAATTAAAAAAACCCCTCTCATTACAAAAATTGACAGCCAGTTAAAAAACCCTCTCATTACAAAAATTGACACATATTAAACCAGAAATACAGCCAGTTATCCTTCATCATCTTATCTTCCCAACGAGGTCATCTGAGAAAAGTTAAGTCTCTTGAAGGTCATGAAATTGCATCTGATCGCTGTTTCTCAAGAAAATGTAAACTATACAACATGCCTGTATATTCACCTTTCTGGGGACAGATTAGTACCATCGAGAATTGTTTAATCCCCAAAGAAGTCAATAGTCAATATTCTAGTAATTCAATCCGCTCTCAACTTCAAAATCTCCTTTGCAGTTCTCTTCCTAAAATAAGCCATGTGTTCCTACAAGATAAAAAAGAAACACGCTTACTGTGTAGAATATAACAACTTCGTCTTAAAGCCATCTCATGCAAAACACCAGGAAAAAAAAATTCCTATAGATGACCCTCTATAGAATTTCTTTATTTGTTTTTTTTTTTGGGTTTTGGGGAAGTGAGTGCACCATTAGTGATATATGCATTAAGATTCATATTCATGACTTGTCAGATGTCACCTCTTCTTCCATCCTCTAGGCATACAGAGGATCTACTTTGATTTCCAACCACAGAATCAAAGCAGCATGGTGTTATATAGTCAGATGAGACAGTTTCACATGAATAAATGCGAGTTGATACAGACAATGACATTACTAACCTGGTTGAAACAGAGGTCTAGACCTCTACTGTAGAAGTCAATGTACTTGAGCATGAACATCCCACAGTCCCACCTGTTGAGATTTAACAAAAGTATGTTTCCGTTAGATATTCCCACTTGATATCAAGAAATTAGCCCAAATCACTACAAGTATATTAGATTTAATGATTAATTAAAACAATGAAGAGAGTAAGATGCACGTGAAATACAAAAGTTATGGGTTTCAATACCCATGGTATCAATTTTACAGACACGCCAAACAATGCAAAAACAGAGAAGTAATTTCATGTAAAAACTGAGATGGCATGCAATTAAGTCTACAAGGCTACAAGCTTCAGTCATGAATTTAATGGGCAAAAAAACCTAGCCAAACAAAATGGATGGGTGCAATATCATTATGTGATCCAAGAATATTTCACCAATTTAGGAAATCACAAATATGAAGTTCTTTATCCTTATTCAGACTTATCATAATCTCCTGCCCTGATGAGACGCATGCTTTCCTTAGATCGACAATAACAATATGCTAAAATCTTCTCCAAGGAGGTTTTCTTAAGAAAATGCCCACATATTCCATGAGGAAAGAACCAAAAAAGGCTGGTTTTAATTGATCCAGAAAAACTACATTTTTATGCTGCAACTAGGTTGTATTATTGTTGCATAGATTCGGTTACCCTTGGCCAACTAAAACAGTACTTTCCAGATTTCTGGGTACATGTCATTCTAAACTCAAGATGCCAGGGTAGTTTCATTTTGTCATGCGGTGATCTTGTTGAACAATTGTGGCTTAGTGATAATGTAATCTCTGCAACAAACTTCCATAATAAACAGAACAGAAGAGGTTTCTTCATTATTTCCTTTTCAAGTAAACCATAACTATTAGAAAGTCCACAGCAACGAAGTGTGATATCAATAAGCTAAAAATAGAAGCTGAACATACCGGTCTAGCAAAGTTAGAGGTATATGAAAATTTAACACTTCTCAAAGTGTAACAAGGATAAAGTTAGTGACAAGTTCATCAAACGGTGCAAAAGAGGAAGAAGAAAAGGAAGACATACCCATTCTGCTGGAGTGGAAGGGCATCCACCATTTCATGCTTCCAGGATGATGTGTCGATCTGTTTATTGCTCTTGTCCTTCACTTCGTCCATGAAGTATCTAGCCTGAAATGTACAGGAAATATAGCTTTAGTGTTATCTTTCTCATCCAGACAACTAGAAACATAACTTTAAGCCAAAAACTGAACGGCAATGCAGGGATCAGCAATATCAGTTAGGTTGGGAAAAACTTATTTCATATTGCCTATGAGGCCAACCACCAACAAGGATCAGCACTTCACAATATAGTTTCAAAGGTATCAATTGAGACAAGCACCACAGTGAAAGACACTAGAAGTAATCAAATCCAGAAGTGTGTCGTGACTCATAATATGACATCATAGAAAACTGGTTCCTGAGGCTCTACAGTAGCTCTCAAACTGATTATAGATCATTAAATCCTGTGAAATGATAAACATGCAGCACATGTTACACTTCTTAGACATCCCACTAGGTTGTTATGGACCAATTGCATTAACGCTAACATGACTGCGCATAGTCGCTAGCCCTCTTGCTGTGCAATGTTTCACATTTCTTTAGGGGTGCCAAACAGGTTGAGTCAGGTCGATTTGGGTCGGCTCAAATCTGACCGACCCATTTAAACTTGACCCGAACCCAACCCGTTTAATAAATGGGTCAGACTACCTGACCCATTTATTAAACGAGTACCCGAATGACCTGAAGTTTTTTCACCGAGGAATCGAGTGTTGACCCACGTCACCCATGTGACTTTTGAGAAACCAAAGTCGGGTCCACGTGCAAATTGAGCAGGTGATATGAAATTAGGTGTATGTGACCGTGGACTGTGACCATCACAGTTCTTTGAAATCTAGAATGTTGAAATGAATGTTATACATCAAAAAAAAAACTCCCAACTTTGAATGATTAATATGCAACTCATCATAACTTTAAAATATCCAAAAATCCCTCGTAAGTTTAGGGATCATCAGAATTCTCAATGAATTTTAAGCCTTTTAAGAAAAACTCCCGTTAAGTTCAGCGGTTATGAGAAAATCTCCTTTAACTTTTTTTTTTTAACTCCTAAAAGCTTCCTACAAAAACAAACCCCTAAAAGCATGAACCCCAATTTTAACTGAAAAATATCTCCCTTTATAATTTTACCCATCCATATCAAAATTATAATTAATACTTTAAGAAAAATTCTTGATAAAATCTTCAAGTTAAACTGGGTTTTCTAATAACCCATAAATTCTAGGGTTTATTTTTTATATTTTGAAAGTGATGAGGGGTTTAACCAAAAATCTGTAATTTCCCCTCTTCTCTCTCCTCTAAAACCGGTCAAGTAGAAATACAACTTTTGAATGTTTTGTCATTTCCAATGTTAAGAAAAGACAATATATAGGGCCTATAGAGAGAAAGAGTCTACATACAGCCAATCCCATATTTCTCTCTCTCTCTCAATATATAGGACCTATAGAGAGAAAGAGTCTACATACAGCCAATCCCACATTTCTCTCTCTCTCTCTCTCTCTCTCATTAATGAAGTTCGAGAGAAATTAGGAGGCCCCACTGTCACCGCTCGCTCGCCAGTGTAGAACTCGAGAATTGTCTGTCTGGGAGATGGTGTATTAGAGAAGAGATGAAATAGTTAAATTATTTGGGTCATATACGGGTCGACCCTCATAACCAGACGAGTCATACGGATCGACCTGTATGACCTGAACCCATATATACCAACCTGTACCCATCAATAACAGGTCGGGTTGGGTCAGGTTGACGGGTCGGGTCAAAAAATGTCACTCCTACATTCCTTGTTGCAACTCCAGACCCCTTACCTTAGCCAAGTTACCATCAATTCATCTAATATCGGTAAACTTCAATTTTGTACCAAGTGCAGGACTCCAGCAATCCTCTTGTGAAAAACCAGTGACTAAACCACCTTTAATATTATATCTTAGAGCAACTCACCATAAAAAAAATTCCATGATTATCTATTACTTTCCACTCCTCTTATCTTTGAACAAAGAAGTGTACTACACTTAATTATCTCAGTAAATTATTTTTCAACAAGTAACTTACCTCCCACTCATCAAAAATCCACTATGGATCCCTGTTATAAATAGCGGTAAATAGCCTCGCAATAGCGGCGCTAATAGCGTTAGCGGTCCCTTCCCGCGACGCTATCGCCCGCTACGCTATCGCGTAATAGCGGTGATATATTGCGGAATATGTCTGTTTGCAAAAGCGGCCAATAGTGTGTCATAACGGTAAATAGTGAGCGACTGCATTCGAAATTTGCTTTTTAATTGCTATTTAAAAGAAGTTTGAGGCTTATTTTTTTAAAATTAAATTCAACCCTTGACCATTGCATTTCACCATCTCCTGTGATTTTCAGCATACTCCTGCCACCTCTCATAGCCTCTGGCACCTACCTTGATACTTGCTCTCACCTCCACCGTGAGCTCCACTTAGGACAGTCCTGTCACCGCTAAGCTCTTCTGCTCGAAAACGACGACTTTTTGACTCATCCAGTCATTTTCGGTATTACGTGATGGTTATATATCTATTTCATGTTTAGGATCTCTTTAAATCATCCAATATGTATTTTTAGATTTTTTTAGATTTTTCTTTAATTTTTTTTAGTATTTATACATATCTAAATTAGACCGCTATTTAACTTTAAACTTTTTACCGTTATTTTACCGCAATAGCCCGAAATAGCCTTAGCGATGCCTCACCGCTACGCGACGCTATCCGTTATCGATAACCTTGCTATGGATATACTTGTTTCAACATAATCCTCTTAAATCAGTAGGTTCGATCTTATGGTACATGGACTTGGTTAAGTCAACCATCCATGAAACATTCCTATCTTCTTTGTTTTAAAACTTTGGGTCAGCTGAACCCCTCCAGATATCTTAAAGCTTTTAAATTTCTATTAAGAAGGACCAAGTAAACACCTGAAACTGAATAGTCTGTGATTGCTTTTAGGACAAAAGTTTCAGGAAGAATAAACTATTACAGACATCGAGCCTTCACAATACTGTATTATTTACTTATTTACTTACCCGACACTAATAAAAGTGGCCTATTTACGGTGATTTCCTGGAGTAACCTGAAACTGTAATAATATTTATCTGCATAGCTAGAAAATCATTAAGATGAGAATACAGAACTATCAAATAAAAAACACCACTTAAGGTTCTCTAAGTAGGCTAAAACAATGGCAGCCAGCAGAAGGGAGGACCTTGTTTATTTGCTCCGAAACACCAATTAAGGTTCTCTAAGTAGGCTAAAACAATGGACAAAATTTCTAGAAGCATGGATGGTCTTGATTCCAGCTGGGCTTGCCAACGGATAACAAAAGTTGTTTAATTGGGCAGGAGTGCTGGAGTCCTGCACTTGGCACAAAATCAAAGCTAACCAGTATGAAAAAGATGACCACTTGGTTAAGTTAATGGGTCAAGGACTACAACCTGTAATGTGCAAGATTGCACAACAAAAGGCTTAGCCACCATGTGCATGCATGTCAGCATTAAAGCAACTTAACAGATACCATTCACTAATACACATGTGGCAAGGTAGTCAGACGGATCACGAAGAAAAATCACATCTACAGAACAGATTTCAATATTCTTTTTCGTTATATAAACAAAATAAAATTAAAACAAAAACAGAACAGTACCTTACAGCTACACCATCCAAAGGTCGAATCTCTAATTAAAGATAAAAACAGAAACACAAGTGGCCAAACATAAAACATTGAAACTACTTTATTTTCTTTCTATTCTTTAACAAGTTCAAGGGTGAGCATATTTGATTAAAAGTTATTGTCATTCTAAGTATACATTTTGTTTGATGAATTCTAGAAGTTCACATTAGCATACCAAAACCCTCAGAACAGCAGTGTCAATGCCCCCAAGCGAATCAAGGTATTGAAAGGTTTCATCCTTGACACTGATAACTGCTAGACACCAATGTATATCTTGGTGTATAGGAACAAAGATCTGCAAGGCAGATAATAAGCATGTCAAGTTATAAAAATAATAATAATAAGCATCCGCAAGAAGGAACAGAAAGCAGAGGACAACTTTACTTTGTCACATTCAATAAGTCCGTAACCTAACTTTCTTTGAGTAGTCCACCTTTTAACTGCATTGTAATCATAACCATTTCTCCCACTGATCAGCTGTGTAAGAATCAGAAAAAATTAGAAATCAGCAATATTTTCCTTTTTCCAACTTATTAACGACAATTAGTTAAATGAATAACAACTAATAAATCAATCTTTCAAAAGCATCTTGCTATTGCCTCTAAAGTTCCAAAAACATATATCATTGAAAAATTATATGGTCAGATCTCATGGTAAATACCAATTTTTACGAACACGGGAAAGGATAAGTAGCAGTCACTCAATACAAGTGCTTACAATACGTTCACCTAGATATTTCTATCTAGTCTTTTTTATATTTATATTTTATAGAATACTTATATCTAAAATCTATTCTTTAATAGTTTCTTTCTGGATTCCAAGTAAATTATATATGAGATTCTGAAATTTCAGAAATTTATCATCTATATTATGTTGAAAACTAATTCCTGTATTGCTCGATCTATGAATTAGAAAATCATGTGGACATCTACTAATAATCAAATATCAATTCAGCAAAAATTATGCTCCAGAAGTTCCCATCTTCACTAGCTAATAGACCAGCCATGATCCTTTCATGTCTTAAGGCTAACATGTGATCATAGTCTTGTTCAGTTTAAAGAAGATACAGGTTTCCCAATAATATAGTTTCACTGTTAAGTACCTGAACTTGATTCATGCTTATGGTAAAAGTTTCACCAGGATTTTTCTTAAGAATCTAGTCCCCTTCATAAGAATCAATGTATGTACAACCATACTAGATCAAACAACTAGATATAAAAAAAGTTGATTGGATATGAAATGAATCAGTTGGTAGTAGGTTGCAGACATTAACGGACATTAGAAAAATTCACTATCTCAGAAATTATGAAAGGATGCCAAATGTGCAAGCACGGCAGGGGTAATAAATGAAAGGGAGCATTAACTGAAACATTAATTCTAATAATAGGGAAGACAAAAGAAAAATCTAATGTGCTAACCCTTTTATAGAAAAATGTACTGAAGAAATGGCATTTCAGAAACTTTTTTGGTTCTCTTCTCTCCCTTTCCTTCAGTAACTCGAGATACAGGTTTATAACCTACAAAATAATAGAACATTATTTCATTATAGTTAGTATCCTGGGGAAGCTTGGTAATCACACAATTAGAAAAGAAGACAACAAAAATCACCTCATCATTTAACCAACCATTGCCATTCAGGCATTGCAAGACCTCTCCTGTAATCTCAATATTAGATGCCTTATGTGTGACTAGAAGTTGACGTCTGCATTAAGTAACACAGCCCAAGTATGACACTAGTCTTCAAATTGCTAATGTTACATTTAGTCATGTACCACACATGAACATAGGTAAATATGTCATATATTTATATAAATACCTTTTTCCACCACGAAAAGCATATGACACCTCATCCTCTTCTTCATCTGTAAGTGGGATAAACACCTGGAATATTTACAGATAACAGCATCAATGAAAACAGAGCTAAAAAGAGTGGTCAATGTCCCAATTATTAGATGAAATAGAACATAAATGAGGAAATGACTGAATACAGTTTGCTCGTATAGCTCAGCAAGAGAAAAGAGAAGCCAACTTTTCAGCAAGCAAAGTGTTATTCCATAACATAAAATAACAACAAGGTTTGTATTTCCAACAAAATAATGATGTGATTTGTAGCAATGAACAAAATATGCTGGCAATCATTATTTTTTTGTTAAAATACATGTTAATCCAATATCATAGAGCGAATGCATCCAAGTGACAAAACAACGGCTTGAGGTTCTATATAAGAATTTCAGAAGATATATTAAGCCTGAACTAAAATGTCTGAGAAATGTACTCACAGATGTAGCCAGTGCGCAAAAAATATTAAGCATGTGAAACTTATAGATTATTAAATACACTCAATGAACTCAGTGCATACATGTCAAGAACATAATTTACTGCTTATGAAATGACTGATCTATAAATGCAGAACCTGTGATAAAAGAAAGGATACACCAATGTAGTAACACGGGAAATAGTTAAGCAATGTCTAATATCTATGTGGTTATTAATCTCAGTATCTGCTTTGACTCAATTTGTTTTCAGCGCTCTGTGTGTGTGTGTGTGTGTGTGTAATTTGCAGTTAATCTGCATAAAATATTTTTCCACTTTCAGCTGTTATGCATAGAATATTTATCATAAGTTGATACCAAATTTGAAACTAACAGATCAGCCCTCTTTATTATTTCAGTATCTGACACAAGAGCATCTCAAACAACAAACTAATCATACTTACTCATACTTACTTCCTAATTAAACACAACCAACAAATGCTAAATGCAGTTAGCCTGAACAAGGGAATTATGATATGCTACAACTATTGTCCATTGGAGCAAACCAAAAAGTCCATTGCACTTCATTCTATAAATGCAACTTCGTTCTAAAAGTAGCTCCTCTAACAGTGTTTTGAAGTTCTATGGTATCGGCCAAACGAGATAAAAGACGAAGCATGAACGCACAAGTCAAATCATTACACCAACAAGCAAAACACTTGTAATTAAGAAAAATTACCTCTTTGGGGTTCTCCTCTTGCGCCTTAGGCACAGATTGTAGGCCCGAAAGCTTCAACTCAGCCAATTTCTGATCAAGTGACAAAGTACTCAGTCTAGGATCCCGTTTCTTCGCCTGTTCATACAGTTCTAGATAAACTGGCTTCTTATTCTTCACCCAGACATTCTCCACTACGTTCCTCGCATCTACCACCTTCCTGTTCAAAACCTTCACCTCCTCCGCATCCGTCGGCGGCGGCAGTGAAATCTCCTCAACAGATCCTAACCCTAATTTCGACCCTGATCCCGGGTTTACCTCCCTAAAACCTGAATCATTCACCATTTTCCTGTAAGCCTCCAATCCTAACCCCTCTTCTCTCTTCGATTCGAAGAGAGAAGACGCGAAGTTCCCCATTTGGAAAGGCTCTCGCTGTACAAGACCCCTACCGCTGCTCGATCCGAGGTTGAAGGCTTTGATGACGCGCTGGGGCCCGTGAACTTGGCGGGAAAATGGAGCCGTCGGCGGGAAGGAGACGGCCTTGGGAGTGGGAGCTGGAATCTGAGGCCGGAGCTTGGGTTTCTTTGACGAGGGAGTGATCTTGAGGTCTGAAATCGGATGATCGACGAAGGCGAAGCAGCGCTTGCGGTTCTCGGTTAGGGCGCCCATTTTGACGATGGAGGTGACGGCTCCATTAATGGCGGTGAGAATCCATGGAATTAGGGTTTTGGGAAATTTTGAATTGGGGGAACTTTTAGGGGTTTTTATGAAGAAGATGGGGATTTTATTTATGGTTTCGTTTTGTTTTAACGGGAGAGAAGCAGGAAAGTGGGGAAGAAGGGTACCAGTGTGAATACGGCAGACGTTTTGGGTAAAAAAAGTGGACGATAGTAGCGTTTATAAATATTGGGTTTATTACGTATTAGTTCCTCATATCATTAGAATTTGGTATGAGCCCCTCAGATCATTGTAATTGCTATAAGGTCCCCCGAATCATCTAAATATGTTGAGGTAAGTCCTCTAGCTAGTTTCTGTTAAAGTAGAGAGAATATTCTCCATTCCATTAAGTTTAACATTTTTGCTGGTTATAAAGTTAACAGGGTGCATTTGGCAACTTTAAAATTGAAACAGGTTAGACTAGTTTTTTTCTTAACTAGGCCAAAATCGAACCACCATGTAATGATTGCTTTACAAAAGAACTAGTTTAGGGGTAAGATTTTGAATTAGAAAGAACTAGTTCAATTTGGGTCTTATTTCTGCCAAACTAAAAATAAAGTTTTAGGGTCAGTGTTGTGTCACTTAAAACAGGTTTTGAGGAGTTTCCAAACACATTCATACCCCTCCATTATTTACCCAAACCCATTAAATCTTTTTTTAACTTGTACCCTTCCACAGCCCTAAATCCAACCCGGTTTAATTAAAATTCAAACTGAAAATCTTCCACAATGTTCCACTTCCTCACCCTAACCACATTTCTCGACGCAATGTTTCATTTTCTCGCCAAACCACTCTCTTCTACAGGACATGGTATATTAACCCAAACAGAAGACTCTTCTTGTAGCCAAAATATCATCGCTATCCGGTAATGGCACCAAAAGCTTTCATTAAGGATCATCTCTTTAATATACTTGATATTTGACAACTCATCACTATAGCAAAATCGAGAAAACTTGAGTTAAAAAGTGAGTCCACGTGATTGACTGCAACCAAAACTGGTGGAAAGGTGATTATTGTATAAATTCAAAACCAAATGTAGTTTTTTTGCATAATGTACTTATTTTAAAGGTGATTTCTATGGAAAATAGAAACCTAAAAATTTTAAGGCAAACCATACAATGGGCTCTTTATAGAAAATCATACAAGGAAGCAAAAGGCCTCTGTTTGCACAAACATGACATATTAATTACGCACCAATCTCTTTTATGATTGCAACAAAATATCATCTTTTAAGGGTCAGTTTGATGTTACACGAGCTTATTATAAATTTTGCTTATATATGCATTTTATAGAAGCAACTTTTATAAGTTGCTAAAATTAATTGATTAGTAATTATATATCATAAGCTACTTCCCAAACAATGAAGCATGCGAATAAAACCATATTTAATAATCATTATAAGTGAAAATGATAAAATAGACGCAGCTTTAGCTACTAAAATGGAAACAATGTAATTTCAAAATAAATAGGATAACAATGTCAAAAGCAATATAAATAGGATAACAATGTCAACAGCTAAAGGGTATCGTATTAAAACCACGAGTGGTGTTACAAGCACTCTGCCTGCCACACCACCAACCAACAGCCCCCCCCCCTGCCACACCACCAACCACAACCCTTCTCCCTCTACAGTGCAGTGGGGCCCACACATGTAGACCCCACTACACTGTAGAGGGAGAAGGGTTGTGGTTGGTGGTGTGGCAGGCAGTGTGCCTGTAACATTTTCCTAAAACCACAAACGCAGCCTAGAAAAAGCAACACCAAACTGACTTTAACTTCTCAAGGACATTTATCTCAACATCATCCCTCAATTGGATTCGCTCACAATTTTGTTTCCCAGGCAACCTACGCTTTTTTGGACATCCACTGCAGCACGGGATGTACACAGTTTGAACAGTAAAAATGAGGAGACGATCGGAACCCATTAATAGAGTTAGCAATCAGCTTGCATTTCCAACGGATCATTTAAACATAAAACAACGCTATATAATAAGAAAATAGGAGAGGTTTTGTACTGAATCGGTTACATCTTTCCCCCATATAATAACAAGTCCCGCCTTTACCATGCCCTTTCCATTGTACATACTCCGCGCAAGTAAACCACAAGCCAAAGCAGCAAGCTAAATAACGAAGAAAACCAGCATCATATTCTTCACATTGAGGCCAGTTAACACATACTCGTGAACAAACACGCAGAGAGAGGGAAGGCTTTTAATAAATTTAGCATTCTCATCTCTCTCACTTCCGTCACTATTAGCCACGGCCACGACCTCCACCTGCCATTATGAGCAAAGCATAAGTTACGCCTTGTGAGAAGGATTAATCGGATGTAGGCTCTCTGTGATACCCTTGTTTTGAACTTACTATCCCTACAGTTCAATTATTGCAGATAGACGCCTCTAGACAAAATTGTTTTTTTTTTTCCTATGAAACTTTGGCAATTATTATTGGAAGGTATATCCGCAACAATGAAACTACAAGAGTAGCAAGGTCAAAGCTAGGATACTAACTCTGAACTCATTGCGAAAAAGAAGTTCAAAAAAGAAGCTAAAGGCGAGAAAAAATGGATGAAGAGAATGAATACCTCTACCAGCACCACTTCTACCGCCAGGTCCACCTCTGCCACGACCACACGACCACCGCCAATGCCTTTGCTACCTCCATCGTCCAGACCTCGTCCGATCCCTTTAACGGGCCTCCCACCTCCATCGTCTCTACCTCTTCCCCTTCCCCGACCCACCACACCAGGTGGCTTCCTATCTGCACAATGTTATCGTTATCCAAAAGTTAGCATCTTAAATTATGCTTGGGAGGATAAATTTTTAATGTTCTAGTCATTTAGAACTGAAGTCGTCACAAAATTTTAGGGGTGAGTCTATTAGAATTGGAAATATTATGAAATTTGGCATTGCGGGACTTCATTTGTTTCACTTCACTACTTTCGTCCCCAGCTTTTAGATTTTTTCCATGTTTTATTTAGAGTGGAGTGCTTTTGGAGGAAAGTGGGATGCATCCGTCCTTTTTCCCTTCCGGTCCAAATTAAAATTATTATGAGTATAATAATTATTAAAATTTGTCACATATTAATGAAATGAAGTTACTTAATACATTAAGATTTCAGTTTGATTAGTAATATATATTTAATATCATCAATGCATGTAATTTCTTGTAAACGTATTTATTGATATAATAAGTTCCCACCTACTAGTATATCCATATCTAGTCTTGTTAAAATTCACTAATTTACTAACAAAAGTAGATAAAACTAAATATATGACAATATTCCATAGTGTTTATTTATTAATATTACTTTGTAATATAATGAAAAAATTCAAGTCATTTTAATAAATATTTATTAATCAAAAACACTGCAGAGCAGAGAGAACCAACCAAACAACAAATTAGATGAATGTCTTGGCATTAATGGTTATTATCAACTATAGTTTTTACCTAAACCACATGTAAACTCATTGCTAACCATGCAATGTATAATTAACTTAGTACCAATTTGAAACCTAAAAATTAAATCAAAGTATTAAATCATCAAACATTAATCCAAATTTTCAGTTCTAATTTATCCATTTATCCTACTACCAATATCCCAATCTGAAAAAATCATCCACTTGCACAATTGTCTCAGAAATAGTTGTAAATTTCTGTTTGACTAACAGATCCTTAAAAGTAAAAGAAATTTCAAGCTTGATCTCACTGAAAAAACTATGCCGTCCATCCTAGTCGGTCATCTACACTCGTATTCACTTATGATCTACACAATCATCATACAAACACATGCCTTTAATATATAGAATCTAGAAAGTTGTACAGTTTGGCAAGTAGGAACAAATTTTAATTCTTAGTTTTCCTGGTAGAAATGGAAGAAACTTAATATTGTTCCTCTCCATGGTTTTCATTCTTATATTCTAAAAAATAGTTAAAATTTTATCAGATTTTAAAAATTTTATAAAGCAGCTCATGATATAGGAATACATTTGCAGGAAAAAAAACTTGTGATCACATATATATGATCCCTTTTTAACACCAACTGACCTGTGCGGTTCTTGGCTTCTTCTTGAACCTTATCAATCACCTGAAATCACAATACCAATGTCAATAACCTCCCAAAAGCAAGGTACTGAGAAATGAAAAGAGAAGCTCATGATCAGAGAGCTTGAAATACTCATTAGGAATTGTTCATAAAAGCATGTGAATAACATAACAAAGAAAAACTTCAAGATTAAAAAGAGAACAATATAGGACAATGCCTAGCCTTGATAAACTGTACTTTTTTGTATTTTAAGTACAATGCATAATGTCGCCAGACAAATGTTCCTATGAGAACATGGGTATAAGAGGCAGGCTTCTCAGAAATCTAGAGCCATAATATAGCAAAACTATCTCTAACTGGTGTTAATTTACACATACAAGTGCATACTTGTACATATCCTAGCTTGTAGGGGTACTACAAATTGGTGTTAATTTACACATACAAGTGCATACTTGTATTGTATATATACTCGTAAACATTGAAGAAAAGAGAGATCCCATTTTCTAGACATAAATGCTATGCTAGATCCTCTTCCATAATGGAAGATGTTATTAGCCTTGTATACCAGTCATTACAATAGAGCTTCTCTATCACCCTCATAAACTGCAGATCAAAAATCAGAATTATGTGGCAGGTAGTAATATTAACTAGTTCCTTTTGTTGTTTCCATACAATATAAAGTGCAGGAGACTATATAATGAGCTAAATGGTAAAAAATAACAAAATGAATTAATCTATTCAAATGTTGTGTGCAAAGGAATCTGGTCAGTAAATAACCAATCTCATTTGTATCGTCAGTGATATCGGCTTCAACTCAAGGTTTCACATGCAAGCTTCACGAAGTGCATAACAAAAACTACCAGGGTGATCTTCACTGGAAGCACTGTTATCTCTGAATCTTGCAAGGAAACACTCAAAGGAGCCAATATATTTCTGATTTGGCTAATTTTCATCATCCCAGAATAAAAACACGAAAATGCTTCTTTTGCATGCAAAAGGACCATTTCTTTCATCATAACTCTATCAAGTATTTCCTAAGTTTTGAGAAGCAGTAGAATCTAAAAGAACAAGATGCAGAATCTCATCCGCATAAAATGCAGTCTCAAATT